AGATGTATCACGATAACGTAGTTCTTACACCAAAAGAAGATACTAAAAATATAATGGAAAATATCTGGGTCGATGACATTTTACATTAAAAGACTAAATAAATATCTTTCTAAACGATAATATTTCCCTTCTCTCTCTCTCTCTCTCTCTCTCTCTCTCATTAAATGATATCAATGACTTGCAGATATTTGCACTTTCAGTTCTAATAAATGTTAAATAATTATATTGATTATATTATCGGATAGGAAACTAAGCACTCACAAAATTTCAATAAAAATCATATAATTATTTGATAATTATTTTAAAGAATATCAAGCATTATTATAAGAAGAGCAATGGTCGTTAAAAGCAACTTCACATCATTTATTCAATTACCAAATACTCTTGGATGAAAATGAGTTCTTTTGCAGTAATGTATTTGTGAATGTAAAGACATAATGTACAGTCGTAGGAGGGGGATTATAAGTCAAAACGAAAGGATTAAATCTCGATTACACAAGTAGTACGTTAACGCGATTGAAAATAATTTCGTTACAGGATGAGAAAAGAATCCCTTTACACATTTATCATCTCAATTTAAAATAGTAAATCCTTGTCGATTCGCCAACAATCGCAGCACATTCGGGTCACACTAAGCCATAAAACAGTCGACTTTTGCAGTTTTTGAATACTTGCTATACCATTTATCATCACGTTTCATTGAGTGAATTTCCCTGGCTCTTCATGCCTGACGTGTTCATCAAACGAAGAATATCCTGATAATGGGGAAGTGGAGACTGACTCGAAGCAATAGAACAAAGGGCTAAGTAGTAATATATTCGAAAGTCGATAGAGAGATAGAGAGAGAGAGAGAGAGAGAAAGAGAGAGAGAGCACCGGGTCGATCATTTCGAATGATTCGAGTACTCACTCTCGCAACGATATTCTATTCAATTTAACTTTGCACGAATGTAAGCGAATATAGAAGTTCAATATGCTTACACGAGTCACGAGGGAGGAAATAAAATTTCTCTTATCCGATAATGTTATTTGATTACGATGATGTTCGCTCACGGCTCGACCTTTCACACTGTCAAACGTTCGTTGTACCTTTCTTTATGAATAATCTACAGACAGAATATTTATCGCACATATCGCATTATTAATTCTTTAATATCGATTATTTATAGATAATCGTAGCATGGACTCTAATTGCATATAATTGATATGAGCGATAATGTAAATTAAAAGGTAAGTCACTGCTAAACGTACGATGTGTGTTGGACAAACGAGAGATGAAATATCCATTGACAATACAATGCTCGATTCTTTCTTATGACCCATTATAATATAACTCTGAGAAATTATAAAACTGCGTATGTTCATAAAGAAAAAAAAAGCATCAGTTCATAATTATCATAATTATAATTATAATTATAATTCATAATTATAATAAAAAATACATCCATATCCTAAAGCATGAGTAAAGAAGATACGTAATTATTTATAATCTATACACACATACACACACGCGCGCGCGCATGTTAATGTATCTGTTTAACGTACAAATTTTAATAAAAATACTGCAAGAGAGATCCATCCTCCATTACATCAAGATTATTACGTCCAGATATTAATATACGTTAATATGGTAATTGCACAAATAATAGACAATCATTAGTGTTATAAAGAACATTTATATTACAAAATATATCGATTTTATAGTAAACTGTATCATTACTAACTTGAGATAAACATAAAAATTCATTCAAAACAATTTGTATTTAATTAAGACTGATATAGTTAGAGTAATAAAAAAAGATTATTATTTATATTTATTGATTCTATGATTTATGCATTGTACATAAGCAATGAAAAGAAATTTTTTTAAATGCATGCCTCGTTTATTTTTCAATCAGTTACGTAAGGTTTATAGATAATATATTCTAGGAATGAAATATATTAGAATAGAATGTTGAGTTTCTTTATTCTTGGCAATTAAAAACACTTGCAAATTAAGGAAACATTGCGTAATAGTGATTTGATTTAACCATTTGTCTATTTTCAATACATTGTATAATAGATGCACCTACCTTTAGGAATGATAATTTATCTTTGTTTGTTGAATTTGCGTTCAATTGTTACATGAATTGTCAACATTATAAGAATTTTATAATACGGCTCATTATAATGGGCAAACCAAATCTTTGCCTGAATTTAATTTCGATATAATAATTATAAAATAATACAATGAATAAATGAATAAGTGTAATTTATAAAAAAAAAAAAAAAAAAAAAACTTGCTGATAATACAAGATCCATCTCAATTATGTTAAAGTGTGAAACAATTGGAACTCGATGGAACAGTAATTTTTGAAATATAATTTGTCCCATAATAACAATAAGATTATAATGAAACGTTATTAGTTTGAAGCTGTTTTCGTCTCAAAAACATTTCAAAAAATGTGAATTCCTGATGACGAATCTCTTTATATAATTGTGACCGAACCTCATTAAGCAGCAAATTAATTTCATCATTCCACATATAAGATAAAGTTATGAAATAAGTTTATTTTTATTACACAACAAGTACAATTAACGTAATTTAAAATATTTCCAGGTTCGATAGCAAGAAAAAGAAAGAAAGAAAGAAAGAAAGAAAGAAGAAGCATTTATTTATTTATTTATTTTGTTTTACGACAAAGCTATGTAAAATTAAAAAGAATTTCTTTATGGGATAAGGATGCATCGCCAATGTATGCGTAGTATGGCAGCGACGTAAGAGTAATTTTTCATTTTTTTTCTTCCAATGTTTAGCAAACTCGACTACTTAAAAGTGAACATGAACCAAAGAACTATAAGGCTGATATAATTAATTGGTCAAATAAGTAAATAATACGTTGTCAAGTTAAGCCTTGTGTATTATCGTATTTCGTTAGCTGCGATTTTCAATGCTTCGAAACGAGAATGGTTTGGTACACTCGTGAAATTCAATAAACGCAACAATCTAACTTTTTCTACTCTCTCACCTTTACTTATGCGTCTCTATTATTTTTAATGCTTGCATTTATCATCCACATCTTCGCTGATAATTAATACTTAGTCTTACCTCGTTAAACTTTACATTGTTGTTTTATCTTCTTTTTTTTTTTTTTTTTTTTTTTTTTTTTTTTTTTTATTATTTTATGTTATTTTTTCATTATTATTATTTATTTATGTATTTATTTGTTAATTAATTTTTTTTTGAATTTTTTATAATAGCACTATCATCAAAGAACTTGTATCGACTTTCTTTATTGACTCTCACTCTTACGCTCTCTTTAACTCCTATCATTCTTATATCACGATTTATCCTCCGGTTTTACTCTCATAAACAATTCGCCTACGAATTATATATTTATATATGTATATATTATAATTATTATAAAATACATTAGTTTACATTTACAAACAACGTGAACTTTTAAGCATCGACGTCCTGCAAATATTATGGGAATCAACGCGGTACGCATAAAACAATCAAGTTCGGCGAAGGATAAAGTAAAATTTATATTGTCTTTGATGAGATGCTCTTACTCCCAAGTATTTAAAATTTTTAATCAAGTAACTATATAAGGTACACACGCGCGCGCGCGCACGCACACACCCACACACACACATTGAAAATGAAATAAAAGTTGAAAAGTAATTTTCTGTAATGCATTGCTGACTATCAAACGCTTCGTGGTTTACTTATGCAAATAATAACACCGACTGTTAAGTTTTTCTCCGATGGTTAAAAATAATCGCTCCATCATAACGCTCCCTTGATCATTCCATGATGCGTCCTGCGAAATTTACCTCGGACTTTCAGGACGATTTAGCAGGCACGTCGATAATTAGAATAAGATTCCTATTTTAACGCGCTAAATACATATTTACATGACCTCTGGCAACGAGGCTTACATTTTCCACTTCCGATTTCGCTCTTTTCTTAATAGAATCCGCAACGCGCATTATTGTTTTTTGCCTTTGTATTTATTTAAAATTAACAACGCTCACTCAGAGTTATACACGCCTTTGTTTTAAAACATTTCTCTGCAGAAGCTACCGCTTTAAGAATCTCACAAGTGCCTCCAAGGGCACTCCAACCCGTTCAATCACTAAAAGCAAAAGGAAACATCTGAGGCAGTCTTAAACATCTTTTTTTCTCTCTTTTCTTTCCCTTTTTTAACATTTTTTTTTTATTGTTTTTTTTTCTTCATTCCCCCCCCCCTTTTTTTTTTAATATGAATTATGAAAAATAATCAGATCTAAGCAATACACGCGTTAAGTGTATCTTTTAAATCGATGTCTACTTGTTCAAAAAGCACGTTACATACGCTAATACAATTACCCTTACTATCTAGAGATTCATTTTCTTATCTTTTTTTTTTTCCTCTTCTTTTTCTTCTTTTCTTCTCATTTTTAAATTCATTTTAAATTACTATTCTTAATAATGGACTACCTTTATCATATAGCTATATTTTTTCAATGTTCTTTTTCATATTTTGTACTCAAGGTTTTACTTTAATTTTAAACACCGTGTCCTGCTTCAACAATTTATTAATCAAAAGTTTTATAACATTTGGCACTGCAACAATAATACTTGAATTAAACGTAAGTAAATAATTACTTTTCATAATTCATTTGAAATAATCACACGCGTAATCGTTCTCTTTCAATGGTCTATTTTGATCGTCAAACGTTTTAGGCGATTGAAAGATTAGCTCAACCAATGCTCGATAGCTCTGCAATGAGACATGAACAAGTTAACAAATTTTTTACTTTTCGTCGATTATCCAAATTGTACAATCTTCCAACGGATATTAGAACATAAAGATGAAGAAAAAAGAGCTCCTTCGATATATATAAACTATAACGCCGTTACGCTCAGAACGTTTTCTCATCGCCATTTCCATTTATCGCGCAACTTTACCTCTTTTTTTTTCTTCTTCTTCATACAATTATTCTTAAAGTAAGACGAAAGTGAAAATAGAACGAAATAAAACAAAAAATAAAAAATAAAAACGAAAACCCAGTTGCAGGTGCAACGCAAAAACCCTGCGAGATCACGTTAATCCCAAGATAAATCTCGGATTCGAATAGCAGGATCTTGGGAGCTGGTACTGCAAAACAAGGTATCGTTGATAAACTTGACGATCTCGATGGATCCAGACGGCACGAATGACATCTACACCTTTATAGTGTTAATGTATTTTCCAAGCACAGTCTTCTGCGAATTCTCGCGTTTCACACGTCCCTACGTGTCCCTAGAATCACAGGAAATACGTTATTAATATTAACAAAGTACACATATACATATATGAATTTTAACGAAATTCGGTACAATATTACCTCTTGGGATATTTCAAAGCTAATTTCGTTAGATTCAATTCCTTAAATTACCATAAAGGCGTAATGTACGCGCGCGCGCACACACACGCACACATTGCATATTTATTGCAATGCATTCTAGTATAATCAATGTAAATTGGACAAATAAATTTCGCTTTTTAATGTTTTAATAATTGATTGTTTATTAATTATTATGCAATAAATTACGTGATATTTGTGTAAAGAGCAATTACAATTATTTACGTCAAATTGATAAAATGGCCTTTGATATCTATCATTAATGTTATCGACATTATCGACCTTCGGAGAAATTTTATCATTTATAATATTTAATACTGTCATAATAGTTCAATTTATTTTCATTTTTTCTTCTTCCTTCATTTCATAATACTTGAGTTTATAATTATTGATAAACTTAGTATCGGTACATTATAAAATTATTCAAATAATTGTATTTGTCGTGGGCAAGCAAATAAAACCAAATGATCTAATGATTTTTTTTTCTTCTTTTTTTTTCGAATCGACAGATTGGCATGATCGATAAACTACAAGCGCGTCTATATGCTAATTAAAGATGCATAATTTTGTCATTTTTAAAGTTGCGGTTCAATAAATGAAAATGAAAATGAAAATAAAAAAAAAAAACAAATAAAAAAAACAGCTGAACATAACAAGCTTTTAGCCGAGTCTCGCATTTATAATCTTAATTAATGCGGATAATGCATAATAGCGTATTACAATAAATTTATACAATAAACTATCTACCACAGAAACATGGGTACTAATTATAATTTGTGTCTCTGTATAATGTACTTTTTTCTTCTTCTTCTTCTTCTTCTTCTTCTACAAATTATGCTAATGTAACTGCAATTCTATCGTCAAATGTAGCATTAATCAAAAAGATGGAAAATCCAAAGATAACTGATTAAACTGATATTTTTATTTTTGACAGATTTTAATTACACTTATTACCATTCGGTTAATCCATAAATGTCGTTAAGTAATATTGCAATGAAAATTTCGCAACCATTATTGTAGAATGCAGATCTTTTATTACCAATAATATAGATTTTAACATAACAAGTTTGCCATAGATTTGTTAGCCAATTTTATAAATTTTTATGGCCGACGACTAAGAACGCAAATACATAATGAAACTTCAAGTGGATATTATATTATAGAGACTCGATTGGCTATTGGACGCTGCGAAGGAATGTTGATGGAACTTACTTTGAAACAACTTTTTCCATAATCATGGAAAGTCGAGCATCCGAATGGTTGGTCGGAAGCAAAGCTTTGAGAATTTCCTTAACGAGATTCTCGCTTATACCCGGTGACGTTCGTTCCGCAATTTCAAAGGTACCTCTCAGTTCGTCCAACGCTCCGTTGTGTCTATTGGTATTGCTGCCATCGCCATTATCCCTCGCCGCATATTGATATTTACGCTGCAGCTAGAAAAGCCAGACCAGACGTTTATGCGGTGGCGAAAAATGGATAAAATCCGACTGATCGGATTGTGTTTTTGTCAGACGAGTCGTCGAAATTGTCGAAAGCTTTAGGAAGCTCGAGGGCCGCGCCAACCACGTGACCACAAATTTAAATTTAATTTCTTTCGTAATCTATATCTTGATAGAGAGGCAGCAACGATTGCATAAGCAATCTGATATTACAATGATAATTTCAAATATTTATTTGTGGGGCCGTTTTAATATTTCAGACAAAGCTTACAGCGTTCAAGTGCAACAAACTTTATTCGATAAAGTAAAAAAGGAAAAACGACAATTTTTAGTACATTTTTAACATTCTAAAAAAAAAAAAAAAAAAAAAAAAAAAAAAAAAAAAGAGAGAGAGAAAAAATCATAATTTAAGTGATGTGATAAATTTGTAATTAAATAATCCCGAGCTCTTAGGCTTATGATTTTTCAGCATCAATACGCTTTAACGATATCATCTCAATACATTAATTTCCAATTGTTTCCATTGTAAATCAAGTTTATTACCGAAAGCCCCGTAATTAATTTCTTTTTTTAGAATCGTAACTGAACTCAATAATTCAAATACGGTATATTTATTTACCGATTACGCAATGATCAACAATGATACAAAATAACGTAATAAATAATACAACGATAGTTTACAATACAGT